TGGGCTAATTTAGTCAACCGATCAACAATTACCCAAATGGCATCAAATCCTTCTCGCGTCCGAGGAAGTCCGACTACAAAGTCCATCGCAATACTGTCGCATTTCCATTCGGGAATCTCCAGAGGTTGAAGAAGTCCCGAAGGTTTCTGATGTTCGTACTTCACCTTCTGACATGTTAGGCACCGATCTACATACTCCGCAATATCACGTTTCATACCCGGCCACCAGAACGAAGTCTTCAAATCATGATACATTTTAGTAGATCCAGGATGAACGACATAATTACCCTTATGTGCCTCCTGCAAAACTTCTTGCTTCAACTCGTCATTCGGTACTACTAACCGGCCTTGGAATCTCAACATCTCATTTTCATCCCATACTACATCTTGGATACCAGCCAAATTATGGACTAGTTCCTCATCCCTTTGAGCCCTCTTGATTCTACAGAGTAACTCATTCTCTATTTTTAAATTGCTCATCCTTATAGTACGTCTTCTTCTGACAACAGACAAATTCATATCTCGAAAAACGTCAAATATTTTAAGTTCTTCCATCATCAGAGTTGTAGTGTGTAGAGTCTTGCGACTCAACGCGTCAGCTACCACATTTGCCTTGCCTGGGTGATATTTAAGTTCAAACTCGTAATCTTTCAGGAATTCCATCCACCGCCGTTGAGTAGGATAATGTCTCCAGATTTTTAGCGCGAACACTATGGCTGCCAACTCCAGGCCATGAGTAGGATAATTTCCTTCGTGAGACTTCAATTGTCGTGAGGCATAAGCTACGACCATACGATCTTGCATTAATACACAGCCAAGTCCTTTCAAAGACGCATCACAGTACACTTCAAACTTTCTTGTTGGGTCCGAAATAGTAAGTACCGGAGCACTTGCCAATCTACCTTTTAACTCCACGAAACATTCCTCACAAGCGTCAGTCCACTCAAAAGGCATATCCTTCCGAGTGAGACGAGTAAGAGGTTGTACTAACTGAGAGAAATTCTGGATAAACCTACGATAATAGCCAGCCAGTCCGAAGAAACTCCGTACTTCAGTGACGGTCTTGGTTCGTTCCCAATTCATTACTGCTTCGACCATGCTGGGATCCATAGCAATACCTTGTTAGTATTTGGGTGTCCTAGAGACAATCTTATGATTAAATAAGGACATAGATGTAGACCTTTTTAATATTGTCGCAAATAAATAAAAGAACTATTTATCTTGTTTCATAATTCTGTCTCGTTATTAATGTTAATATATTATTAATAACTTGATAAACCCCGTGGAATAAAATAGGTATCTCTTGAGTATCTGTGATGAGATCACAATCATGAGGATTCAAGAATACCGGATGTTTATTCCTAATTTTATGTTCCTAGTCTAGAGATACTGAGAATGGGGTCAGTAATCTCGGGTAAGACTAGCATGACTTATCAACTTGTATATGGATACAAGGTATAGACCTCATGTGCTACAGATATGGAGATGTCTTAGCTAAAGTCGTGGGTGGACCTATAAGGGTATAGCTCGCACTGAACGGACCCTCAAAGAGACTCTATGAGGAAATCTCACAGATAGTATCATTAGAGTAGTCTCTATATATTTGGGTATGTCTTTCCTTAGACCAGAAGTTATCACATAGACTGTGTTCTAGAAGGCATGCCTTGATTGTATACCTCGTCTGCCTGAAACATGGAGACTCATAGATATGCTCTTGGGCTTGTCCTGATAGGGCACAGGGCTAGGGTAATAAGCTGAAGGAATTCGTCAAATCTCTATGAGAGATTAGGTTATCCTTAAACCGGAGAAATCGGGATGACATTTACAATGACTCGGGAATCTATGCATAGTAAAAGAGATCATAAGATGATCTGCCTTTAGAGTCAGTATATTGAAGACTCCCTATTTCATATAAAGCTAACCCTAAACCGCAAGGGATGATACGTTTCTTTACCCTAGGTTTTATGGGAAGGTAATCGAGACGAAGGGACAAACATACGACAACCAAATATGTTTAATAGGATGATCAAATCATTAACCTAACTAGTTCTGGGGCAACAAAGCATTGCTAGTGCTCTGTGTTGTCATTAGATGAGTTGTGGGCTTATTGGGCCCAGACTCATTTATGTCAGTGGCTATGTTGGACCTAATGGGTCACACACAAACACCTAATTGTCTAGATGCTCTAGCATTAAAGGTATTGGGCCTAATAATAGTTATTAGCCCAAGAAGTTGTTTGGAAATCCATCTAAAGGGGTGGAAGGCGCATGGATCATTGTAATGGGCTTGGATAGTCCAAGTCATTACTAATTAATTTAATTAGTTAAATTAATTATCAAACATTTAAATTTTGAATTTTGGAATTTAAAATTTGAATTTTGAAATTCGAATTTTGAATTTGAAATTTGAAATTTGAATTTTGAATTTGAATTTTGAAATTTGAATTTTGAAATTTGAAATTTGAATTTGAATTTAGAATTTGAATTTGAATTTAAAATTTAAGTGTTTGAAAGTTTGAATTCAAATGTTTGAAATTCGAATTTGAATTTGCTATGAAAAGTTGTTTCATAACAAAAGGATAAGATGAGATCTTGTTGGAACATATCAAGAGGAAATCTTTTGGACATAATCTAAGAAGATTTGGGGTGCTGATTTGGCTGTTGGTTAGTCATCAGAATCAGCTCCAGAAGATACGATCTGTTGGGAGAATATTTGAGTGATTTGATTGAAGTTTGAATGCAACTACTCAAATGTATCTGGTCATTATTTAGGCTATATGGGGCGCACCATATAACTGATTATATGATGATTTATGATCAGATATTTGATTAGGTTTTGAACCTAATATATCATAAAGATATGATAGGATGTTGTTGGCAAGATTTGATGAGATTTGATTTGCAACAAATCCTATTCTCTCTCTCTCTCTTTGATGGAGCGCCCTTTTGGAAGGGATTTTTATTGATTAAAAATCTGATTTGTTTTTAACAAATAGGGTCCTCTTGTGCGCCTCTTTATGTTCCTTCTAGGGTTTTTAAAAAAACAACCAAGCCATTCTCTTCTCCTCTCCTGCGCCACTTTTGTGAAGATTTCACATTGAAAGCTTCACTCTTTCTAACACTTTTACCTAGCCTTTCTCTTCACACAGTGTGCGCTTAGCAAGCCTCATTGTAGTGATCACTTGGCGGTTTCACAAGAAGGAGTTCTTGCACCTAGACGCAGTGGGTGGTGTGGATCAACGTTAGAGGGTCTGAACCCTTCAGACCTACCTTGATCATCACGAGTTTTCACGAACAAGGTAACATCATGCTTTCCTAAAGCATGATCTTGAATGCATGTGTGTTCCGCAATGAAAAAGTTTTGTTTTTCCCTCCAGCATGCATCGGCCTTCAAGGCCATTTCCAACTTTAATACCTTCTGCTGAAATCATGTGGCCCAGAAACTGGACTTCACTTAGCCAGAACTCACACTTTGACCATTTTGCATACAATTGTTTCTCCTTAAGGATTTGCAAAACTATCCTCAAGTGTTCCGCATTCAATTCCTTATTGGCAGAGTAAATCAGGATGTCATCGATGAACACAATAACAAACTGATCCAGGAATGGGCGGAAGATGCGGTTCATATAATCCATGAATACCGCCGAAGCATTTGTAAGTCCGAACGGAATCACCTCGTACTCATAGTGCCCATATCGAGTCCTAAAAGCTTTTTTCGGAATGTCCTTTGGTTTGACCCAGATTTGACGGTATCCCGATCGTAAATCTATTTTGGAAAAGACTCTTGCACCTCTCAGCTGGTCCATCAAATCATCGATCCTAGGAAGCGGATACTTATTCTTCACTGTCACTTTGTTCAGTTGATGGTAATCCACAGACAACCGCAGACTACCATCCTTTTTCTTAATCAGAATTGCTGGAGCACCCCATGGAGAAGTACCGGGTTTGATGAATTCTTTTGACAGCAGCTCTTCTATCTGCTTCTTCAGCTCCCGAAGTTCCAAAGGTGCCATATGGTACGAAGCAATGGAAATAGGTCCAACTCCGGGAATAAGTTCAATGGGAAATTCTATTTCCCGATGAGGAGGTAATCGAGGAATTTCATCTGGGAACACCTCCTCGAATTCATTTACAACAGGAACATTCTGAATTTGGTTGTCAACCGAAGTCTCAGACTCAATCAACAACAGATAACCTTCAGCTCCCCGAAGGAGCTCTTTTCGAACTTGTAATAAAGAAATAGCAGCAAAAGGCTGAAAATTACCATCTTTCGAAGGAACTATGACTTTCCCTGCTTGACAGTCCAATGTTATTCCGTTCTCCATCAACCAGTCCATACCGATAATCACCTCAAAATTGAACACCGGTAGAACCACTAAATTCACTGTATAAGTGTTCCCTTCAAATTGCAAAATAACACCTCTGCAGATCTCTGATGCAGTACAAGATCCTCCAGTAGGAGTACTGATTTGTAACTCATAAGGTAACGGAGCTGGGGTGATGCCTATTCTCATAGCAGTGTGTTTCGTCATAAAAGAACCTGATGCTCCAGAATCAAAGATAACAAAAAGAGGAGAACCGTTCAGAATTTCATTACCTCGAATCAGATTCAGATACTTCTGAGCTTCATTTGCATCAAGGGTGAACACCTGAGCTTGAGTAGGAGGTCGATTAGGATCCTGTGGGCAATCAGAAACAAAGTGCCCCGACTGTCCACCCCGTAGCATAAGTTGTTCCTACTTCGGCAGACTCCAGGATGATACTTTCCACGAGTAGTACAAGCGTTGGGACCCTGTCGTCCGGCAGACGATTGACCAGGAGCATTATTCCTCTTGAAGTTTCCAGTTCGAGCTTGCAATTGCGGACCCTTTCCCCTATTCATTCCAGCAATCTTTCTGAAGAACCGGCCCACTTTACTTCCTCCCTGACTTTGAATTGGCTGCTTAGACAGATTCTTCGCTTCATTGATAATTTCTTCCGCTTGCCGGCTCTGATTGATTAATTATGGCAGAGTGCGATTAGCTGTAGTCAACATGAGCTTACGGATCTCTGGGTGCAGTCCACTTTCATATTTCTCCACTTGCCACTCTTCATCGTAGATGTTTCGATCAAAATTGGCATATTCCATCAGATGCCCAAATTTAGCAATATCTTCATTGACAGTCATGTTATCCTGCCGTAGTGACAACAACTCAGTGTGTTTCATTCTTCTCATGGCCTTTGGGAAATACTTGTCGAGTAAAACCCTTCGGAACACAGCCCAAGTCAGATCAACATTTTGGGCTCGAAGCAGAGCCCTCGCACTGGTCCACCAAGTCAAAGCTTCATCAATCAGCTGGTATGAGGCATAGTCAGCCTTCTGCGCTTCAGGGCATCCCATACGTTCAAATATGTGCTCGATCATCTGCAGCCATCTTGCTGCAGCCTCAGGATTATCCCCACCTTCAAATGTAGGTGGCTGAAAGTTTCGGAAGTCTTTAAACCTCCGTCTAGCGATTTCTTCAGCATTTTCATGCATCTGGGATTGGTTCGGATTCTGATGCCGATATTCTCTCCACTCTTGACTCATGTTTTGGACAAAAGTGGCCAAACCCCTACGGTAGTGATAAGGTCGTAAGGTGCATTACCAGTTCTTCCCTGAGTAGAACCGCGGATACCTGCCATGTTTCTGCACTCACAATACAACGAAATGAGCTGATTAGACTAACTACAAGCTATTCATGACAGCAATCCCAAGTGGGTACTCGAGTTCAAATCAGATAAGTTAATAATGCATCTGTCCCTATCACGGCATATTTCTGACAGTCTAAATATAACAATTAATATATTTCTAACAATTAAACATTTTATCATATGCAAGCAACAATTATGTAACAGTCAATTACAATCAGCAGGCAATTCAGCAAGCAGCAAACAATTCAACAAGCGGATTAGAGTCGAAATGCTAACGAGTAAGTTCTAAAAATTTGGTTTTAAGCCTACGAAAACTTTTCGTATTCAAATCTGGTCTAAAAATAAACCGTGTGACATTTAGACAAAAATTACATTACTTGCCGAAACATTAATTTTTTTGACAGACCTTTCTGCCTTGTAAAAATCGTATAAAATCGAGTTTTCAAAATTCCATTGTAAAGTTTATATAATCTGAAACTAGACACGTGGGGCTTCGCGTGCATATAAATTATAAGCGGATTGGAGGTCTGTAGCCCAACGAAAGATAACTCGCAAGGTACTCGCAAAACAGTTTTGTAAACAACATTTAAAACGTTAAGAAATTGTTTTTCGGAAAATGTAAACAAAATCTTCCAAAAATGCAAACTGACCGTAAAACCTTAAGTTAGCAGATTAAAGCATGTTCCAACAGTAGTCCATGTTCCCCAAAATATTACATCGAAATAACAAGGTCAGCCAGCTTCCAACAAATAAAACAGACAACAGCAGGAATTCCAAACAACAGCAATCATCAGCAACTATCCAAAATAATAACGTCATCATATGCTTTATCTTCCTCCTGCAATTTTATAAAAATTGAGCCCAAAGAGGGGTGAGAAGAATCCCAGTAGTGTGATAGCAAAACCTGTAATGCAACAGTACTAACTAGATGCAGAATTACAAAACAGTCGCATCATCAATTCAAATTCGACAAATACTAACCATATTCATAGTGCGTATATAACGCCAAAAGTACTAATCATATTGCGTATATAACGCCAAAAGTACATTCATAACACTACGGTGCACGTACTACTAACAAACACAGTGGAGATTCCTGGGTGGCTCCACAAAAGGATTCCAACTGCGACCTATGCGAACTGAAGCCAAGTGTCCTATACCCTGGTACCGTAGGGATGCCTACATGATGCGTTCTCAAACGTATGCTTACTGTTCGTAATTATTTTCAGAAATCAGCATGAAATTTATGCATGTATGCTATGCTATGGTCCGCACACAAAACAAACTGCTAAAATTATGATATGTGTATGCATGACTAGATAACATTCAAATAGCATATATCTCATGGATGTCCAATACCAAGGCGCTGAATAACAATTATTCTCCAAAACAGAATATCCAGCATGTCAAGTCCATGAACAGAATGCAAATAACTTATACAGAATTCGAATCCAACGCACATGAGAGCATCCGTTCACAATCCCATATACTAGCTAGCAGTCACAAAAGGTAATGCCACCTAACACTTACCTCACGTGCCACAAATAAATTTCCAGGCAGCAGCGAAATAGTCCAAGGTGTTAAGAGTTTTGCACACCTAACATACCAATGCACCAAATCAGAATTTCATACATTTATTCCTATAAGTCACCAAAAATTCCAAGGCTTCTCTTCCAGGTACCTTCATCGAGTTACAATGTTCCAGTGCTAATTATTTTCTTAAGATAATTTCATCCATTGCTAGAAATTATAATTTTTCCAAGGTTCACCACATGAGTAGGTTCGATAAAGGCTTCTCCTAAGTGAGTAATTTTTTTTCTAACTTCACTAAATTTATTAAATTTGTACAGCAACAATACCCAACGTTTTCCCTAAGTTCCCACATGCAACTCCATTCGGTTTCACCATACTTTCTTCCCTAACAATATTCTGACTTATAATAGTGTTACCAACGTTTAACAACAAAACAAATTCCAAGGTTCCAACCAAAACAGAATCAATTTTTCATCAAGAAAAAGCATTAAAGATTTTTATTCCCATTCTCAACCAATCTACCTATGGTGCGCTACAAGTAGCCTAAAGCATGTTGTCCTTTTTATTTTAATTCATGTAAATACTAAGGTACAACCAAACAGTCCCACAATTTAATAGAAGGACATTTCCAAGTTTATTATTATTGTTTTCTTATGTTTTCAGGCTAGGGTCCAAGGGGTTTAATATGGCAGAAAAAAGAATTAAAAATAGGAGGACTAACTTCCTAGATATGCTTGACAAACTGAACAGAGGAGAGGAAGAAAGGTTCGAAATTTAGGCTTACCTCTTGCAAGCACACAAGGAACACGAAATGGACAAGAAGCAGCACCTCAGCTTCCTAGGCTCCACAAAAACAGCAAGTTCAGCCCTTCTAAATGGTGACCGTGCGCACAAGAGGAGAGGAAAGAAGTGCTTGAGTTAGAACCGACATGCAAGAGGACATCTCCATCAACCCAACATGGTAGGAGAATGCAAGGGAGAAAAAACTATACTCTACCTCCTTGTATGAAGAGCTACGGCTGAGCAAGGAGAAAAGAGATGAAGGCTTAATGACAATGGTTCTCTAGAGGTCCACGATTTGAGGCAAGAAAGATGGGAAGGATGTGAAATTATTTCTGGATGTTCACTCTCTACTTGGGTCACGGTTTTAAGGAGGGGGGGAAGGAGAAAGTATGGCTGAGTTCTATATTCTGTTTCACAAGATAAATTCCTCACCCTACTTCTTCTACAATCAGCACTAGGAGTGAAGGAAAGGGGTGTTAGAGGGTTGATTTAAAATGCTACAATGACCAGAAAACTAACATGACTCTTCCATCATTTATGCGCACCAAAGAGGGCAGAAGAAGTGAAGGAATTCTTCCCAATACCATCACATGAAAACTGGTTACTACACTCTTAGTGGCTGCATGTAATAAAGCTGTTTTTATTTTGGATGGTTCAACAAGCAAGCAGCTAGCTTTTGAAGGGGTTTGCCATGTGTAGGAATTCTTCCCAATACCATCACATGAAAACTGGTTACTACACTCTTAGTGGCTGCATGTAATAAAGCTGTTTTTATTTTGGATGGTTCAACAAGCAAGCAGCTAGCTTTTGGCACAACCCATGCGCATGAGAAGAAAAGAAGTGGTGAGTGGGTTGACTTGCTTTCTTTTGAAGGGACTCAATCAGAATTTTTCCTACCCTATGCGCACAAGTGGAGAGAGAATAAAGATGGGGTTTGCCATGTGTAGATACCCACCCAATGCATGTCACCCTTATGGATTTATCTAAGATGACGTGTGTTTGAAATTAAAGAGTGGGGCTGAATACAACTTACTCCCAAGACTCTTAGGGCTTCGGCCAAGACAAGAGATGGGGGGCCAAAAGTGTACAAGTCGATTGGTGTTACTAACTTAGGTACTAGCCCACAAGATTATAAGTTCTCATATAGCCTAAGTGACATTATGTTTTCTTTTTATATATTACAATTAATTTATTCCTATACCTTTTATCTAAGGTTTCCCATGCCTAAAATAAATACTCACTTACCATGGTAATTCAAATAATTCCCTAACTTGAATTAATTCCACTCTAGGGAAAATAGTTATATAATTCGCAAACAATACATGTATTAACAAAAAAAAATTCGAATTCCCCTCATTCATCCATATTCCTCATAGCACTTTATGTATTTTTCCTAATTATGTGGGATGTTACACTCTCCCCACCAAAATATAATTTTGTCCGCAAAATTAGACTTACTTACTAATTAAAAAAGTTCTGGATACGATTCTGGATGTCATCTTCACGCTCCCAAGTGGCTTCATATGCCGATTTATTGTTCCACAACACTTTGACCAACGGTATCTCCTTGGAACGGAGTTGTTTAAGTGACCTCTCGAGAATCTGGAACGGTTGAACTGGATACGTCAGATTTTCCCCTAACTCCACTTCTTCTGGCCGTAACACATGAGATGGATCAGAAAGATATCTTCTCAACTGCGACACATGAAATACGTTATGAATCCCTGACAAATTAGGCGGTAACACCAAGCGATAAGCTGATTCTCCAATCCTGTCCAAGATAAGATATGGTCCCAAGTATCGCAGACTCAACTTCTTCACTCCCATTCTCCTGCCGAGTCTCGATGTGGGTGTGATTCTCAAAAACACGTGATCTCCCACTTCAAAAGATAAGGGCTTATGACGATTGTCATAATAACTTTTCTGTCTCGCCTGGGCCCGCTGTATATTTTCTTTGATTTTCTGTACCTGCACAGATGTTTCTTGAATCATATCGGGCCCCAAAATACTCGCTCACCAACTTCTACCCAACATAACAGGGATCTACATTTCCTCCCGTACAGTGCTTCATACGGTGCCATTCGGATACTAGAATGATAACTATTATTGTACGCAAACTCTACCAAAGGAAGATACTTGTCCCAACTACCCCCCTGATCTAAGATACAGGCCCGCAACATATCCTCTAGAACCTGAATAGTGCGTTCCGTCTGACTATCGGTTTGCGGGTGATAAGCAGTACTCAACCTCAAATGGGTTCCGAGAGCTCGGTGAAAAGACTCCCAGAACTTAGAGGTGAATTTGGGATCACGATCACTGACAATACTGGTGGGAACTCCATGCAGCTTCACTATCTCCCGAAGGTAAATTCGGGCAAGCTTTTCTGTATTATACGTTGTGCGGACACTCAGGAAATGGGCTGATTTAGTCAACCGATCAACAATTACCCAAATGGCATCAAATCCTTCTCGCGTCCGAGGAAGTCCGACTACAAAGTCCATCGCAATATTGTCCCATTTCCATTCGGGAATCTCCAGAGGTTGAAGAAGTCCCGAAGGATTCTGATGTTCGTACTTCACT